TTAGCAAAAGAGCGGAATGAAAGGTGGAATGGAGGCAAGCAGCCGGTCAGGGGGACATTGGAAAAGGGTATTCCGAAGCCCAAAGTGCCTAGGAAGACTGTTGGGAACACTGAGCAAGATGCTGGGGATGGAGATGGCGACGAGGATGAGTGGGAGGACGAGGACGACGAGATCTAGTGATCGGCCGAAAAAGGAAATTGGGCTGTTCAAAGGACCGAGCACCGTGGAAATAGACCCTTCAGCATTCACTCTCGTATCCTATCAATATCACACGCTTTTCCCTGAAAATATTCAACAGTATACATGATATGTATATAAAGCTATGGGGCTCAAAAAATCGCCGAGGGAATGCATTGATTTTGCATACAGCCCGATTCAAAAAAACTGTTTAAAGGAGCCGTTGAATACTGTATATCAACTCGCAAATTCTAAATCTCAGGCGAACGCTCAACCATTAGCCCAACGGATATTCCTATCTGGGCCTCTCCTGCATGATGCGAGGGGCATACTTGCCCTATCGCTGATCAACAGGAACGTGACTACATCATACTGCGCAGCTTCGACTTGCTTGTCAGTTTCATGTCGCGTTTACAGGAAGTGACGTGTAATCACCACCCACCAAGACTACCACCACCACTACATACTCAGCATGGATAGCACAGACTCTGAAAAGCTCAAAGACACCCAAGGCTCCTACTTTGACAGGAGCGCTACAGTCGCCAGGAGCAACTTTGAGCGGTGAGCCGGTCGCGTCTTTGTCTCCATCTCGGATCCCCAATGAACTGATTGGCGTGGTGGTGATCGACGAACTTCAAGATTTGAGACGGCCTATGCGCGCCCGCTCATAGCGTTCTCCGTCGATGCGTTTCACGCACACCCATGGATGTCGACGTTTTTCGCGATCTTCGTGAGCCTTTGGGCGACGACTTTCTTGGCGACCTGCGCGACTCTCAGCTCTTCGCCCGTGGTTTCATTCCTGTACGTCCCACCTTGCGCTCGCGTGCACCGAGATCAGTCCTGACAACGAATTCGCACAGCGGAATGGCGGTGTTGGTCTTCGCGTCCGTCTCCTTCCTCTTCTTTGTCCTCACAATGGTCACGATGACTATAAGTGCAGTCCCGTCGCCAACGCCACCGCACCTGCACACACTTTGCTCAGCACTCAGCGACATGACAAAGGCATATAGTGCATCCTGCTCCTCACGACGTAAACAACGATCCTGACCCTCTCACACGTTATCCTGACCCTCTATCACCGTCGACCCACAGCACAACCCACCTGATCCTCGCATCAGCACAGCGAGGCGGGGACATAAGCATATCGGCGTGGATCGCGGAAACGAAGACGCACGCTCATCCTCGCGTTATCGGGTATGATGTTCGCGGTCCAGTCCTGTCCGCTGAACACACCGTGCACGCGGACGGTGGGCTTGAGCTGCTGCCGAAGCACAGAGACGGATGTGTACGCCATGAACTGCCGGTGCTCTATCAGTGAACGTCCAAGCGAGCGCCTGAAAAGGGGAGACCCACTGCTGCGTCCAGCGCGTTCTGGCCCTCCCAGGGACTCAACGCGGCATGTGCCCTGCACCAAAGCTCAGCTCCATCACGGCAAGGCGCTACGGCGACTTACGTATGGCCCTTGTAGTCGACCCACACGGCCTGGTTCGCCAAACTGCTACTCAGGGAGACGCTCGCGATGGGGCCGGGCGCGGGGTGACACATGAGCACGGCGTCCATCCCTTCGTACGCGCCGGCATTGAGGAGTATGTGTTTCCCGCCACCGCCTTCTTCCGCTGCCCTCGCATCGTCTTATCAGCGAAGGCTGGAGGGAAAGGCAAGGGGGGCGACGCACCTGGTGTCCCGAGCACATGCACCTTCCCCGCGATGTCGAACTTCTCCATCGCGTCTTTGATGGCACAGGCGACAGCGACGCCGGCGATGGCGATGAGATTGTGGCCACACGCGTGGCCCACGCCGGGCAGCGCGTCCATTTCGGAGTTGATCCCGATTGCTGGGGGTTGCAGTCACACCGTTAGCAAAAGGGTGATGGATATAAGAGGGAGATGGAACGCACTTCGTCCGCCAGAGCCATGCGTATATGTCGCGGACCAGGCGGTGTCGAGGTGGAAGTGCGGGGTGACGGAGAAGCCGTGGGCGGACATGAAGGATGTAAGTACATCGTGGGCGTGTCTGAGGTGTAGTTTCGAGTGCGGCTTTATCAGTAAGTATATGCTCCTCCTCGATCCCGCCACCGGGATAGCGGTGCACGCACTTCTCTTCGAATCTCAGCTCGGGGTGATCTATGTGCCAAATGATTCATTCCAATTGGGAGAAGGGAATCATTCGAGCTTACCATGTATATCAATGCTGAGTGCCCTCAGCTCCTCGCTTAGTCCATCAACGGTCTTCTCCATGGCATCGAGCACATCAGGTCTGTAGATGTTCCCTTTGTCCGTCTTCTCTTTCAAGATTTTTTCGAGCAGGGCAGCGTGTTCCTCGTTATCGCTTCGCCAGACCTCGTTGCTTTCTGGTTGGGGTTGGCACATCGTGTCAAATGCAAGAGAATAGGTGGGCAATTGCTTGAAGGTGATTGGAGGCAAGATTGAGGAGATGTCAGTGTCACGGATCCTCAAAGCACTCGGCCCGCCACAGCCGGTGGTTCATTGCCGCCCCCGTGGCCCTCCGCCTTCTTTAATGGCCGGTCATGTACGATAGTTAACAGCACGTACAGCAGATTCAAAATTTAAGTGAGCGGTTCCTTCAATATCAAGTTGAGAAAGGTTTAGTTATCCCGTGTACCCCATAGTAAGCAGGAACATCTCGGTATACAGACGTTACTTCTTGGGATTTATCAGCCCCGCCATAATATCAAAGCTATTCCCATCGGGCATCAAGTCCATGAATCCTGCGTTGCCTGACGAGTAGCCTGTTCTCTCCGGCAAGGTTCGCAAAAGCCCATAATCGGGTGTGATGCCAACGATGCGCACCGCCTGGTGCGGCGTGGTGGTAGTCAAAGTCACCAGTTGATCTCTTTGCAATTTGTCAGCAAGCGACGATCTACAGGGGAAATCGGACGTACGAGTGGAGCCACCGTTCGAGGTAGAGATCCATCAGTGGCTCGAAGGACACGCCGTTGGGCGTGCAGAACTTGTCCCACATGGTCTCGAATGTGGCCATGATTATCGCTGCCGTGCGTTCCATTGATAGATTCGTGGATGAGCTTTCGGGAACAAGTTGCGCCAAAGAGAAAATTGGCGATTCAGTCAGAACATTCAGCCCGCAGCCTGGAGAGGTGCATGTAGATGAATATATGCCCACAGACAAATGTGGAATTTCTTACCGATAATGATCTCCGTCTCGTTGCCACAGGATCTGGTATTGACCAAGATCCCTCCGATCTTCTTCATACCACTCGGCCCCTCCCCTACGATTGCGTACAAGTCATTCGGCCACTTCAGCCTCACGTGGGACCCCAAATCGCCCAACACACCCGCATCCCGGCACGCCTCTGCCACGGCGAGACCGAAAAGATACTGGACGAAGACTAGCTTTGCTCCCATGCTGGGCACGCGAAGGAGGAGCGAGAATTGTAGGCACCCTGAGGGCGATAGCCAAATGTTGCTCCCGCGGCCGCGACCGCTTAGCTGATGGGACGCAAGGGACAGCAGCGGAGTGCCGAGCGTTGACATGAATCCGGGGTTGCTAGATGCAAGATTAGCGATAGTCTGTTTAATGTTGTGGTGCTGAATGGCTACCTGTCGAACATGATCTGCGTGCTCGTGACGGCCTCGGTGTACAACAGCGCTTCGCCCATTCCCCACCGGCTGTTGTCATCGGAGCTGGAGAGCCCATTGAGTTTCCTCGCAGCTGATAGCGCACTGTAATACAGGCTGATGTCGAAGTATGTTGTCTCTGCAGGGAGAGTTCCGTCTCGAGAGACAAAAATATGCTTGGGCTGCCATTCGGACGGATCAGAGGGTGCAGCGGAGGTCGACCGAGCCCGTGCTTCTATCAATACCTGCTTCGCTTCGTCGCTGTCTGCGTCATGGAATTGCAGTGTGTCCACATCGTGCCTTTCTTTCAGGACTTTCAGCGAGCCATCAAAGTACGGCTTTAAGATTTGCGTGATGATGTCCTGGCGATCTGGAGAGACCGACAGGTACTGGGGAAGGGGTGCTGAGATAGGTGTTCCAGAGGAAAGGTTCAAGCCGAGACTTGTTAGAGTGTCCCGCAAGGCTGTCTGCCTATCCGTCGCAACGTTGGGCTCTCCCGGAACTGGCAGTTCTACACTGGGAGCCCACAAGGCCACCTTCCCCTTGCTCATATCACATCGCACGGCGGCAATTTTATCGCCAATCCATGCCAGTGTCTTGGAGTTGGTCGCTCCTTCGAACCCCTCGAAGGACGATCCATTGTATTGGACTTCAGCCAGCTCTTGGCCCGAAGCAAGCCGCAGAGAGACGGAGGACGTGGCCGCCTTTGGGCCTAAATTGAATGTCGGTTTTAAGGATTCGTTACTGGACGTATCGCGGAAGCGCAGTGCTTGATCTCTGGATATGCCAGTGCCTATCCCGCTGAAAGAAGATATTCCTACTCCCTGTGATGCAGAGGTGTATGCGGCCCCAGAGGATAATGCGAGGAATGCACCCCCATTTTCGACGAATCCTTTAATCAGAGCAATGGATGGGGATGGTGTAAGTGCGTAACAGCCAGGGAGCACGAGGAGAGCACAAGATGTCGACCAGGGATGGGAAACGAGAGATTCTCGTGATATGGATTGCACTGTGTAGTGCGGGACAAGAATTGATCGCAAGGTTGACAGTGTATGTTTCAGAGAAGCTTGCAAGACTTCAGGACCGGCATAGACTAAGACGTTCATTGTAGCACACGATTGGGAGGAACTCAAAATTGAGATCTTTTGAGAGCCGATGATGGCTGTGAGCAATGGATTGAAAAAACAGAATTGGACTCATTAATATTATTAAATGATCCATTTCGTAGCCGGCGTGGCTCAATGGCAGAGCGTCACCTTCCTACAGTACAGTACAGTAACTAGGTGAAGGTTGAGGGTTCGACCCCCTCCGTCGGTATTAGGAAACCTCACGGCTACATTTTTTGCTTCTTTGTGCAATTATAGTTGTGCCAGCGGGCAACAAGCCGAGATTTCAGCAACTTCCTGTGTTCATCGTAGGAGTGGCCCAAGTTCGTTGTCGAAGGCACATAAAAGTTTTTGCCATTATATTGGAGGTGATGCTTAATGTGGTGGGTGGCGTAGCCGAACGTGATTCAAAGCCATACGCAAAGTTCTTCAAGTAACTCCCATGGCAGAAACAATCGAGGCCTCAGCGCCTCCTGCCACTTTCCCCAGCATAACTGACATCATCCAAGTGTTCCGTTCGTATCCTTTCTCGACAGATGAAGGGTTCCAGGTTCGTCTCCTGAGCACTCTCCGCGTCGTGTCTGACCTCAAGCATATCGCAAGGAAGGTCTCGCCAGCATCCTAATGAGCGGAGTCCTGGCAGACAAAACTGAGGACGAGAAGGAACTGATCCTCAAAACGGCAGAAGTCTTCTACTTCAATAGGCAAGGTTAGGCTATTTTCATCTTCCTCCCATCCGCTCATATCGGCGTGTATATCAGGGTGACCGGCAACTCTCTTGCTGTCGAAGACATACCTACTGTAGAGCCTTCCCCTGACATGGGATCTTCTGTCTCAGAACACGTTGTCCTGACGAGCACCGGAGAAGAATCCCGTACCCTTACATTCTCGGAGCTGAAGGATCTGATCGAGCAGGGGAAGACAGATGATATCCCGAACAACAAGATTATACCCGAGGCTATTAATGTGAGTAGCAATCACGATACTCCCACACCACTTTCTCATCCCATCCAACGCAGGATGCACCCCCCAGTGAATCGGTCGCACCAGCGAGGAAGAAGCCTTGGGAGAATGCATCTTGAAGATGTATACAGGCATACTTCAATTGTAATCGCAGAATAACTCTAGACGTCCCGTTTGGCCTATTGATACAGTTACAACAAGATCCTGCTGCCCTTTGTACGGTCTCCTCCTTTTTGTCTCAACTTCTCAAACCGCAGCAAAGTTTGCCACTATTGCGATGCTATCATCGCCGCTCATACAATGCAGATATATCATTGCGAGAAGATACAACGCTGCTTTCTTTGAATCTGATCCCGTTTTTCCTGCATGCCCGAATGCATCTCTAGCTCTAAATTCGTCACCCAACGGTCACAGTCGGTTTCGTAAATAGCGTTTGAGAACAGGTTGTGAGGTGTGGTTAGTGAGTTCCTGCATGAAATCCCAAACGAATTTTGTGTCCCTCGCCGATCGAGCCTACAACATTGAAAACTTATCGCGGCCCCTCCCAGCTGCAGTGGTATGTAGGTGACGAATTGAAAGTTTTGTCGCGGCTCAGTGACAACCTATTTCCAGGAAACAAGGGGAAATACTTAGAGAGAGGAAAAACTGAATCGTTATGTAGATGACAGCGGCTCCTTAACTACGCAATTTTGATAGCTTTAGCCAGCTTTAGCCGCGTTTATATCAAATAGTAAGATAGCATTCTATAGTCGACATACTTTCCTCGCTTTTGACACAACTTTATCTTACGAAACCTGCACATGTGGTCACTAGCGCTCAACGCCTACACACGGTCCGCCTGGGTGCTTGCTTGTGACTTGGATCCTGGGAACCACCACCTCGGTCTCAGGACTTTCTGCTAAGGATCATGGTGAGTTTAGCGGGCTCGTCCATGTGAACAAGAGGGGCTGACCTGAGTCTCATTGCTTTTTGATGCCAAAAGAACATGTTTCTCGTATCCACGCACAACTTCTTGAGCCTCCTCTCTGGTGAAGCCATTGTTTCGGTGCCCTTGGTACAGCTTCATGTTCATGTCGGATGGCCATGATTCACCGAACAGCACTTCTATCAACTTCGCAACCATCAACCTGAACCAGTTGTCCTTCTCCATCACCCACGGAGCCTGGAGGTAATTTGCAGCAATCACATCTCGCACCGCCTTCACCCAAGCCGTGTGTTCTTCCTCCCTCTCCTCCTTCTCCCTCCCCTCCATTGTCATCGTCGACACACAGGCATGACCCTTAACTTCGATACCTGCCTTCGTAAAAGCTCCGGCGTTCTTCTCCCACCATCCACTCCTATCATTGCAACGCTCCAAGGCTGTTATGACCAGTACGATGGGAACTTTGCCACCGCATAGGGCGTTGAACATGTTGTAGTTCTGTACCATGGCCTCGGTGATTCTGCCTCGAACACAATACACCAGGAGATTGACGCCATTGTCCAAGGTGCGTGTAAGCGTGTAGATGTTGCTGACTGCCGCTTTGAAGTGGACTTTTCCTTGTGCGCCCTCGTTTAGACCAGCCGTATCCCAGATTTTGAGCAAGGGAAAATCAGGCAGGTCGACGTTATATGGAGTACTTGCAAAAGTACATCCAGTGACGTTTTCAGACGTTTCGGCGCAGTCTCTGCCAGCGATCATATTGACAAGTGAGCTTTTTCCCGCTCCCGATTCGCCAAAGATGATTATATTGGCTCGCTGATGAATATGGCGTGAGATGAACTGCAGTCAAGGGTAGCTTGCTTGCGTTCTGACCTGTGGGTCCCGGTCCTCGGTCTGGGAAGGGATGAGTTTCCAAGTTGTGTTACGTGAAGAAGCCACTAACCATATATATTCCCAGATTGCTTGAGTTGCTCGAACTGGTATTTGGAGCGTCCTACAAGCAACATATGAATTGATGGCAAGAATGAAAAAAATTATTGACGCTGACTGCTTCTGTCTGACTGGTCGCAGAAGTGGATGTCGTTTCATCCCTGGCGTTCTGATTCTGATTTGTTCAGATGGCCACCACACATGCACATCACACAACTCACCGGCGGAGAATCATCGACACCTGGCACTTTCATGTTTATGAATTGCCTCGCCTTTGCTTCTAAAGCTGTCTTGCATACGTGTACAAAGGCAGTGACAGAAACAAAGCTTACCGGCAGCTGCTCTATCTTCGTCCAATATCAATTTGAAATGAGTAACAGACAATGGCTAGCATACATATATCCACAGGTGGTAAGCAAAGAATCAGATTCGATGGATGATCAAGGACCTCTCACCGTGATGTTTACTTCGGTCATGGCGTTTACTTCAAGGTAATGTGGTTGGTACTGCAAGTTTACGAGTCGCAGTACTAAAGCAGGTGCCTATTTAATCTATTCATTGGAGGCATATATTGCGCGCCGGCGTTGATTCCACGATGCTATGGGAAATCGCATTATGAGATCTTGTCAGATGCATGTCTCGATTGCTTGCACGAGGCCCATACACGCCTATACCTTAAGGTCATCTAAATCTTATAGTAGCTCCCAGTTTGGCTGATGGCAATTATCGAAAGGATCACAATATATTGATCCTGGATGCGTTAGATCTGATTCGCAGATCCCCTGTGGCACCCCATGTCACATAAGAAAAATGCGTGATGTGTAAAAGTGTGGTGAGTGTATTAACCCAACTTCCAGGAGTGCCTGCATTGATTAAAGATTTCGCTGACTGACCGAGTCATTGCCAACATCTTTTGCCAGCCGCCCAGTAGATAGTTGGGGGTTGTTAGATGGATATAAACGAAGGTGTCATGTGATCAGAAAATTCGTACTTTGTAGAGAATCAGATTTTGCGTACGCGTTCGATATGCTGTCCCCCTTCTATCTACTCGTGCGGCTGGTTTTAGGAGCCTGGGACTACTGTATCATATCGACCGTAGGTTAACTGTCAGAATATGGTCTCTGTGTGCTACATGTTTTATTTATGGGACACATCGTACTCCTTTGCTGCTAGCAACGCCACACTTTGTGAAAAGCCATTGCTTTTCATCGCCTGGTAAAGATCCCTGCTTCCAGCTGAAAGTGAAGGTCTGCGCAGCAACAGTTCCAACAGGCCTCTGTATATGCGTGCAGCCAAATAATCGGGCTCCTTCTGTGTCTCTGCTACCCAGGGCCTGAGGAGGTGGGAGCCACGAATCATATCCCGAATGGAGCCATCAGACTCTTTGTATTCTGCTTCGTACCGATAGCTGCCGCCCGGAAGTGGATCGCCCATGCTTGAAGTGATGCAAGCATGACCTTCGAAGGCCAAACCTTCTTTGAGGAGATAGTCAACGTTCCTGTCCCACCATGCCTCCCTATCATCCACGCGCTCTAGTCCCGTGACAACTAGCGCAATAGGTACTCTGTCCCTGCAAAATGCCATGATTGTTTTGAAGGTCTTGACCTCGGCTTGGTTGATTTTCCCTCGCACACAATATATGAGAAGAGACACGCCGTCCATACGCCTCGTCAGGTTGTATACGCCAACTATAGCGTTTATGGTGGCAAATCGGGTATAATCTGCCTCGTTCAATCCCGGTGTATCCCATAACTTGATTGTGGAACCATTGGACAGAATTTTATCCGAATCGTACGAGGTGCTGATCAAAGTGCATCCACTTGCGGCATCAGAAGTCTTGGCCTGATCATTACCAACGAGCATGTTGACAAGTGAGCTCTTGCCAGTGCCCACCGATCCACATACGATGACATTCAAAGGCTCCTGTTTGTATTTTTGATCAATTTGACGGGATTGATGACAGTGCATGTTGTACTGACTGCTCTGGCTGACGGAGCAACGAAGTCGCTGTATGTCACTGGCTTATGGGCTCGCGTGAGCTCTCATCGCGCGCATGATTAGTGAAGCACTAACCACATCATTCTCTGAATTTGTGGGATATCTAGTCATACTAGGCTTGGTGATGTGGTCTTGCAACTATCCAAGAACGACGAAACTGTTAAACACATTTTCGAGAGATAATCTGACGACTTACTACTCGATGCGCAATTCTCGGTTTGGAGGGCCAGGATATCCTGGGTGCTAGATGAATGTGACTCCTCGATCTCCTACGATGGCCCAGATATAAGATACATATGGTGGTATGCAACCCGAGACCCGTCCGCTGACCTGCAGGAGAAGCTTTGATCGGCACCTGCTACATGCGAGTAACACGTACTTTATATGAAATCAATTTC